ATTGGCTGGAAAATTGAAAAATTCTAAAATATTATTCAATCTGTCAAAGTAAATGACGAGCAGAGCTGACATAGGAAACGACGTTGCCAGTTCACGTCGTCGTTACAAATTAACAGAAGAATGCAACCCGTACTACACCTTTAGTAAAAGATTTGGGTTTAACGAGTCATTAGATATTTAACGATCGTTGTTGCAACCCGCTGTAAATTAGAAATAAACTCATCTGACAAAAGTCGTTTTTTTTGATGCGCTAATACATGGTTAAAATTATGACACTCTTTTCTGGGAGAAAATTTTAAATGCACATTTCTCGAAATGTGTTGAAATTATGCTATTAAAACAAGTATTCGTTTTTTGTTTTAATCATAGACTTAAAAAAATTTTAGAAATGCCAAGAATAAAACAAATTGGGTAGTAGTCTTCATCCAGAAGAGTGTCTATGTGTAATCTTAAAATCGAGATCATACACACTTATGATTGGTTGTGTGTCCATTGACCGACATCCGATTGATCAACAGGCCAATTGCCCAATATCCAATTGACCGACGCCATATTGGTCGACAAGACAACTCGCCAATTTACAGATACATCGATAGGCAAATTTAGTGGCAGGTTAATTCACAAAAATTTCGACAGATTAAAATTAAACAAATTAACCAAAAGAATTAACCTAACCTCTCCGGCCTAGAGCCAATGCGGGTTGCCTTGCAAAAATATATACATAAAATGAGAAAAATTTAAAAAAAAACTTAACTAAGTTCCCTAAACTGTGCAGACTAGAGTTATAAATAGGTTCATTGGCTTTGCCGGTAATTTAAACTATCGGTAAATTGAAATGTTGGTCATTAAGTCTGTCGGTAAATAGGTCTGTCGAGCAATTGCCCTATCGGTGATTAGGTCTGCCTATATATTGGCCTGTCGGTAACTTGGACTATGCTTATTTAAAAAGAACCAAGCGCCAAATTAGAGGTTACAGATGATAATGCTTTATTAAAATAATGAGTGTAGATAAATCCAGCTTTTTGAACTAGTGCCAGATAGTTAATATGTTATCATAGGTACAATTTTATAAATTTATTAACCTACCTAGAAATATGAGATTTACGACATTTTTGGCGGACGGTTCTCTTTATTGAAATTAGGAATTTGTTTACTGATGTGTCGTTTGATTCATTGGTCAAAAGATGGCACTTGGAGTAGAGCTCGTAATTGGATCTTTTTATGCAAGGTAAATTAATTCTTCCTCTGTCGCCTTTAACTCATTTTTGCCAACTTTATATAAGCATAGTCCAATTGTCCAGTCGGTAAATTGCTGTCGGTCAATAATTGTTCTGTCGATCAATAATTATTGTCGTGTTGGTGGGCCCGTTCACTTTCATTTTTGAATGTCAATTGATTATATTTTTATAAAGATATTAAACTCTTTTGTCTGGTGGTACTTTTCCCGTAAAGATATTTTTGCTAGAAGTAAGGGAATTCCCATAAAATTCTTTCAGTGACTCATTGCGTCAGAAAATCCCTAATTCCGTTCACGTCTCGTATCGGTTATGCTTAAAGACGGCGAGGTTGTCGGAAGTATCCCTAATATAGCATTTCTGCATTTATATGTAATTTAAATAGTAAAATTCCATTATTTTTCTAAAAATCATGAACTTATATTTTCAGATTTAAAGCTGGGAGCTTATTTTTTACTTTTTAATTAAAACAATTATTATTACTCAGGCTGAAAATTAACCAGACCATAATCAAAAAGTAGAAATTTGATTTGCAATATTTATCTGGTAAACGTGGCAACGTTGCATTTATTTCTAGAAGTGTGTGTAGACAACACTATTTAGAAGTACTTACAACGTTGTCACGTTTACCAGATACATTTTCTCAAATAAAATTTGGATCTGGTAATATTCAGCTTGAGTAATACTAATTGTTTTTATTAAAATTTAAAAAAGGTAAGCCTTCCAGCTTTATCTGAAAATATAAACACATTATTTTTAAAAAATAATATTTTTTATCATTTAAATTTCTTTAATAAATGCAGAAGAGGAATGGTGGTGCAATGATACATCCGACAACCGCGCCCTTTTAACTATTAACCGATACAACACCTGAAGGGAATTAGGGGTTTTCTGACGCAATGAGTCACTGAAAGAATTTTATGGGAATTCCCTTACTTCTAGCAAAAATATCTTAACGGGAAAAGTACCACCAGACAAAAGAGTTTAATATCTTTATAAATATATAAATAATTCACATTCAAAAATGAAAGTGAACGGGCCCATTTACTACCTCAACAGTATAACCCTACCAAATTTTAAGCCAATACGTTAAATAATAACAAAAAAATAAAAATATTTTTTTTTAATTCTGATGCTTTGGTAGGATTCCCCACTCGACCATTCACTGTTGGGTTCTAATTAACAGTGCTGTTCCTAAAGTGGCGCTGGGAAACAGTAACAAAGCCTAAATAGAACACGAGGCTGATGGCCTTAGTAGTCGATACCGATGACACCAAATTAAAAAAAAACACTGTATCTCAGTAGTTAAGTAGTACATTTGACCATTTGATCATTTGATCATTTGACCATTTGACCATTTGACCATTTGACCATTTGACCATTTGACCATTTGACCATTTGACCATTTGACCATTTGACCATTTGACCATTTGACCATTTGACCATTTGACCATTTGACCATTTGACCATTTGACCATTTGACCATTTGACCATTTGACCATTTGACCATTTGACCATTTGACCATTTGACCATTTGACCATTTGACCATTTGACCATTTGACCATTTGACCATTTGACCATTTGACCATTTGACCATTTGACCATTTGACCATTTGACCATTTGACCATTTGACCATTTGACCATTTGACCATTTGACCATTTGACCATTTGACCATTTGACCATTTGACCATTTGACCATTTGACCATTTGACCATTTGACCATTTGACCATTTGACCATTTGACCATTTGACCATTTGACCATTTGACCATTTGACCATTTGACCATTTGACCATTTGACCATTTGACCATTTGACCATTTGACCATTTGACCATTTGACCATTTGACCATTTGACCATTTGACCATTTGACCATTTGACCATTTGACCATTTGACCATTTGACCATTTGACCATTTGACCATTTGACCATTTGACCATTTGACCATTTGACCATTTGACCATTTGACCATTTGACCATTTGACCATTTGACCATTTGACCATTTGACCATTTGACCATTTGACCATTTGACCATTTGACGCAGTGTTATTTAGCAAGGTGCTGAACGTATGATTAATAGTAGTTTGTGGAGCAAGAGTGGGTATGAACGCCATACCGTACGAAGACGAGTTTGAGCACGACGCCGGCGGAGTGCTCAATCCTCTGAGTATTGAGAATTTGTAGAATTTTGTTAGTGGGTCATAAAAAATATACTGTATAATTTGGGTGGATTATCCATACAATCTGAGTGGATTGTCCATACTAATACACCATTTCTTATGTTTGACGTTTCTAACTAAGCCGAAACAGAAGAAAATTGCTCGTATGTTAAACAATTGATTCTAATATTGTTTAGAGTTTGTTTGTAGTAATGACGTTTTGGAATCTATGTTTTAGAAGTTATTTTTGTTTAAAATTAAATCATTTGTCATAAAACCAGTCATTAATTCTATATTTTCAATATATTATTGTAGGCTTTTGCGCTTCGAAATTCAACCGCAGAGTTGACGTTTTCCGCGAATTGATACTGTGACAGCTTTGTCGATTGCCGAGCGGAAAACTTGACAGCTTTGTCGCTCGCCTAATTTAAATTAGATATAATACAATATTTCTTTTTATTAAATGATTTTGAAATTATTTGTACCTAGTTTGATGTTTTTTTTCTTTTATTATCCAAGTTAATATCAACTCCTTTTTTCATGAATAACGTGAATATAGGCAACACATTATACACTACTTATGACAAATTTTCAGTTTTTACATCTATTTCTTAAAATAATGTAATCGTAGAAAAAATCTTGTGTGCATTTTGAGCGAAAAGTTCGTTGCCGTTTTCGACAAATTGCCGCGCTCCGCACTTTTCGCTCTTAGTACACAAATAGCTATTGCTATTTATTTCCATTTAAATATATTGTTTAAGATTATACTTATAATTTTTTATTATTATGAATAGATTACAGCTAGATGAATGAATGGTTATTACAGATTTTATACACCATCAACAGATTACCGTTATATATGCAGGAAGACACGGTATTGAAAAATTAATCGTTTATCTTTTATTGCCCACTTATCTATTAACACATAAAAGCGTAATTAATAGGTAATTAAATAAATATTATTTAGTAAACCATATTTTGCTTCATTATATTAAAATACCATTACATACGATTTGTTTGACATTGACAATAAATATAATTAAAAAGTGTTTTTTGCAATAATTTCAAATGCAATTCAATTTTTTTATTCTAATTTACTTAATGAAATAACAAAATTGATTGCACATTCGTGAGAAACAAGTTTTGTTTCATTAACTGAAAAATGTTCTAACCATACTGTACCTAACGTTTATAAAAATATATTTAAATTATATATACTTAGACATAAGTGATTCCTGAAAAACAAAATTAAATAAAATTTCCTGTTTTATTTTTTTTTTGGGTTAAACGAGGTCTTTGAATAGTTCAATCACAGGGGGCCATTCAGGATGGAGCAGTCAATTCGAGTATAATCACGAATCTATTCTGAAGATAGTTTGACTATTCTAAATTTACATGAAAATACCTTACTAGCCACACAAAGTGCGAATAGTCACGCAATCTTTATTCAAATGTCAAAGTACAAAGCTAATTTTTTGTTAAAAAAAAAATAGTCGAACAGAAGCAAGTCTCAAAATTTTGTTCCGTAAGCACAAGAAGTTAGCTATATATTTTCAAATCATGTTTTACTTGAAATGCATTATAAAATATGGAAAAATAATACCTTCATTGTTTTTTATAATCAAAACATTTCCTAGTAACGGTAAGGCTGGAGGTCCTGGTAACTTCCATACAAGAATAACAGTTCTAATGTAATTCTTTATAACTGTCAGAACTGATGTTAATATCGCCAATATGTATCCTAGATAATAGTCCATTTTTCTGTAATAAAAAAATGCAAAATGAATGTATTATGTAAAAATTTAAAAGAAAAATGCATAGTATTTTCAATATTTTATTTGATGTGTGTAGAAATTATGAGAAAAAAGCTCTATCGGAATTTAGGTAGGTACTTATTCCTAAAATATTGAATCATTAATTCCGAAAAATGATCAGTAAATACTCTGAAATTTTTCGAAATTATCACTACGAAACATTAAAGCCCTAAAGTGAAAACAAATTTATTAAAAAATTTAAAAACCATCCACATTCACCTTCTATGCACGCTGTGTTACCTTTTGTTACCTGAGTTAGCAAGGCAAGCAGCGTGGGTAGAACGCGAATGTGGAAGATTCGAATCCTTCCCAAGGGAGTTTTTTAATTTTTTCATTTTTCCAATAAATTTATTTTCACTTTGGTGGCCCAAAAATAGTTTGCAATGTTTCAATTTTGAAAAATTTATTTGGGAATTTCCAAAACATTACTAGTGATGCCGCGAGACAAGACGAAACGAGAGAGTTGCCTCTCTCGTCTCGTCTCGTAGGGCAAGAGAAAACTGTTCAAGGTGCTTCTCTCGCTCGAGAGAGCCTTTCTCTCGTCTTGTCTCGTCTCGTCTCGTCTCGTTTCTCTCGTGATCAAACAATATTTGAAAAAGACGAAACATGAAAAAACGGTAAAATTTGTAAGACAAAAACAAAGAATTTTTACCCAAATTTGGCAATAAGAAACACATGCCTCTCTGTCTGTCCGTCTGTCACAGTCGTTTTACAATTGAAATTTGAAGTAATAAGTGGCCCAGATTAGGCGTTAATTAAAAACGAAAATACTTTGTCTTGTAAGTCAGTTGGGGAGGGGGGAAGAGGTTAAATTGGAAGTTAGAATTTTTCTAATGCAATCTTGCGATGTCAAATGAAAGCATTTTGTAGTATGTGTTCAAAATGCAAGAAGATAGAGACATAAAACAAAAACGATATGAATTAGAAAAACATTATGATATTTTTGTTATAATGAGATGCACTTTACTTGAGACGTAAAATAGAGGGCGTTATTATCTTTAAATTTTCTACTAGAAAGTAAAGTCATGTAATACCTCATTTGAAAAATATTTTGATTATATTTACGTCCAAGCAAACAGTTTTAATTTTTTTTTGTTTTTACAAAAATTACATTCTTGATAATCCTCGTGTGCCACAATAATCCTAGAAATGTTAGATAAAGTTAGAAGAGAATTTTTTAATAAGCTTTTTTTGCCAAGAAATTATGAAAAATTTAACACGTCAAGTGGTTTTTAAATCACCTTTGATATTCTTAATTTATTTATTTATTTTAGTAAATACAAGAAGCGTTTTCTTAGTAATAAACAATAATTGTTAATACGAAAGTTATCAAGAATGTAACTTATTAGTAAAGGCCCAGAACATGTCTGTATAAGAACAAAGTTCCAGCTACAAAAAATTGCCATTTGTGCAGTATTAAATCCCTCTAACAGTAAAAAATTACTCAAATTTATAAAAGATACTGACATTTACTCTGTACTAGCCAAAATGTTAATTATCCATTGTATACTATTGTAAAATACAGCATTTATAAGGTATTATACCTCCAGGGATGATCCTTTGAGGTTGAAGCGGTAAATAAAAAAAAATTAACCTACTTTATGAATTTATTTAATATAATTTCTATAAAAACCTAAATCTATTTACATGAACGTAAAAATATAGAAAATATTTTTCAAATGAGGTATCACATGACCCTACTGTCCATTAGAAAATTTAAAGCTAGTAACTATCTATCTTACGTGTCTCAAGTAAAGTACATCTCGTTATAACAAAAATATAATAGCTCTTGAGTTTTACCTCGGTTTTGTTTTGTCATTATCCTTTTTCATTTAGAAGTTAAAATAGAGGAGGGTAAAATTTTCTTCCTCACTGTATATAATACATTCGTTTGTATTACCTTTTCTTTGACAATTTTCCGAAAAAACGCTTAAAAAAATTTCAACTTATCTTCAAAAGTAACCTCAGAAAAGCAGAATGGATTAAATATAAGAAATGACTGTATAAATTTTAAATAAATGAAATGAGAAATATTTTTTCTTATAAATCACTATTTATAAAATCCTAATAACACAAGTATCATTTGTTACCATTTAATATACAGTATATCCCCCTAGGTTGGAATTATATGGAAAACTTTTTTATTATTAATTTTAGGAAAAAAGTTATTCTTCATACAAAGTTCTGCATTATCTAAAACCTAGAATACAGTCATCAAATATCAAATTTTTTCAGTGGTATACGAGGTTTGTCAAAAAATGTGAGTTTTACTTAAGAGTAAAGTACCTCTATTCTTTATACGACTGGTAAAATTTGATATTTGATGGTTGTATTTTAGTTAGACATACTGTCTCGTTCGAGACGAAACAAGACGAGACGAGAGACGATAATTTCTCGTCTCGCGCCATCACTAAACATTACACAGCCCAACAGACATTTTGTTGCTTGCGATGTTATAATTGTTTAAAGATCATTTTTGAGTACAGAATACCAAATAGCCGTCAAATTCGGTCTGTCGGACCTAGTTTTTAAATAAAATTGACAGCAAAAATAACAAAAATGCAAAAGTTGGTGTTATTTAATAAATATACATTCATCAGTTATCACTTGAACAAAATTTTTATATGAATTTCTTGGAGTTTACCAAGACAGTCTCGCTGAAGACGCCGACAGTAGTCGGCCACCATGTGGTCATCCCATCTTCTTGGATATCGATCTTCTATAGTTTTAATTTACTGATAAAATATTTCGCGTTATTTTTTAATCATCTATGTTTTCTAGAAACGAATCTAATTAGTTATAGAAGTAGAGCAGAATATTAAAGTTGGAAAGCTAGTTTCAACTTTTTCTATTTAACTATCTGCCTTATTATTTCTAAGAAAATGTTGTACCTGTTCGACAAATAAAAATTAAATCTCGTTAATTAATGCAGTCTGAGGATCATAAAATATTCCAATATTAATTTGGATCATGCTAACCTCAAATTTACGTGTTACGGTACCATTTGAGAACGCTAAACCAATGCAAGCGACCGCGTAAGGCGACTAAAATGCGTTTCTTTACGTCTGAATAACATGTAATTATATGAAGCACATTTGGGACCGAGCGACAGATGCAAAAGACCGCGACAGCACTTTCAACACTGGATTCGGAGCAGTGTTTGCTGCCTGTCGCAGTCGCTTGCATCGGTTTCGCGTTCCCAAATTGTACCTTTAAGATAAAAACAAAGCCTTCCCTAATTACTTAAATGACCCCAACTTGATATGCAAGGACGAAACTATGATTTTCTCTTTCGCAATCAAAGGTTCGTTGATTACGTTCTGTTTTCCTTCACTAATGACATTTCTTAAAGGCAAATTTCTTTTAACTTAGAAGTGATCCTTAACTCTACTGTTCCAAAGACATAAAAAACCAGGATATTTTGTGTCCAAAAAGAAAGTTCACCATTTTTATCGATGTTCTTCATATTTAATTTTTTTTTCAGAACCATTTATATTTTCTTATATTCCTATATTATGATGGTCGGATAAACAATTAATATTAAGCTATAGTGTAAAAGAATATTTTTCAAACTACGTTTTCAACTATCAATAAAAATGCGCCATTTGTATGTAGTTTATTTTAACAAAGAATAAGTAAGCTTTTATATTGTTACAGAATACATTGTTATTTTCATGGGAAAATACGAGCAGCAGATCCTTATCTCTTTTACTATAAAATGAAATAGTACATGGATAAAATAAATTCTTTTTCTATAACCCTTTACAAAAAGACAACATTTTGTAATAGAATACCTTCAGCGAAAACGTGATTTCCGTCGCAAGTGAGAGAAATTCTCATATTGTTAACTTTCGTCTCTAGTGACGAAACATATTTATATTTTCAATCATGTCCCAGATAATTAAATCTTATTTACGACACCTAATAAATAATATCTATAACTCTGTCCATAAGAGATCCAATTTTCTTGCATGTGTCTGGATACCAACCCCAAAACCACCTTACAACATAAATTTTGTCACGAAATAATAATCATTGAAACACTTAACGCACTTATCTTAAGTCAAGTTTGAAGAGTAACATTGTTTTCGATACACAAAAGGCAAGTAATAAATCGACCACCCTCTTTTTTATCCACCCAAATTTGTTCTCACGGAACTACGAGAAACTGACGTCATAAAAAGTAATTAAATCAGTTATAAAGACCCGAACCCGAGGCACTCGAGATTCATTCATTAAGAAATCAAACTCAGTTCAGTTGATTTCAAACAGTCATTCATTACTCTCAAATCTAGTATAATCCAAGTTCAGCATCCAGTACCTTTTCTAAATCGACGCAGTTTCTATCTTACCTCCTATCGACATTCCTACGTCGCGACGTTCTACGTCTTGACGACCTATCTGCCGACGTTATCCGTCCCGACGTCATCTTCCCTATCCGGTGCTCTACGTCCCAAAGTCCTATATCCCATTCGATGCTATACGTCCCTGCTTCCCGCCTTCTTATGTCACGATGCTCTTATACGACGCCCTGCGCGTCCTGACGCTATCTCTAAGCCCCGTCGCTCTACATTCCTACGCTCAAAGTTGAGTCATTTATTTTAACAGCTTGTAGAACTCGTCAAAAATAGTCGATATACCAAAAATCACCTAAATAAAAGTTGCATAATAAGGGAGTTATAGGTTTTTCTAAAATTAAAAACATTCATTATCGGTAAAATGTATTCCACTTTTACAAAAATTGTTCAAAATTGTCACCATTTGTCCGATTAATGCATAGTCTCGATCGGCGTACCCATTACTCCTGACAGGCCTCAAAAATAAAATCCGGATGTTCGCGAATAACATCACAAGCATTTACAATGCGGTCTTGAAGTTCTTCCACAGTATTTACTTCTCCATCATGATACACCAACTGTTTTAAATAACCCTATAGACAAAAATCAC